TTTTTTTTTTTTTCGTTTCACAATATCATTTTACAATATTAGTACATTGCTTACCCATAAAATGAAACTAAGTTTCAATGTTACGTTCGTATACAAAATCATCTAATTTTTATTTTGTGTCCAAACTATGGCAACAATAAATGTGCATCATCCAAATATAAAATGTGAAACTTTATGTCTTGCGGAGCTTTGGGATGACAAATTGATGACTAAAAAGGATGGAGACAATCTCAAATCTTCAGTACGAAACTTGAATTTAACACTCCTGCGATGGAATTGTGACCTCTGCTACGAGAGAATTTCAGACCCTTTTCAAATTAATAATGATACATAACATTGAAAAATTTATTTTTGGCAACAAGTTCAAAAATAATATATGAAAATGTGTTTTGCAAGCATATGGGGAAGTTCTTGTATTTATACTTATATTTTATTCGGATATATGTATATTTCAATTATATATGTATATTGAAAAAAGATTTGGATGATCTTATCATGATATTCATTGTAGAATATCGGATATGCATGGACATGGATAGAAGCATCCATAAATTAAAGATCATTGAGAAAGAGAAAAAAAAGTATATACTTACCATGTTTCAACCTATATTCTTGGAAAGAAATCAGATAAATGAAGCATCTTGCTTGGAAAAGACTTCACGCGTAAGGAGTCTTTATATACCCTACTTGAAGATTAATTGAAGGCTGCTGAGAATAATATTATTCACGACCTATTCCCAACATTCAATTAAGAGTTCGAGTTTTGTACTTTATTTTAGTTCACATTTAGAGATTCAATGTTCTTTTAGTGTCGAAGAACTGAACCCGTTTTGTTTTAGTTTTCCATATTTTATTCAAACACTTTGTTTCTAGTACTTAGGGATTAAGTATTGAATTTTTTTGCTCGAGGGATTCGAGTGTGTTAAGTCTACGGGACGTGGCCAGAGAAGTAGTTGGTAGTTTCGAGTGTAGTTGTGGCTAAGCTAGAAGAGAGTTCTAGTTTTTGTATGTCCAAACTATACACGAGTACACAATCGATGTATTAATGAAAGATACGCTCTCCGAAGAGTATATCTCTTCTTTTGTGCTTCTGCTATTTCAACGTGTTGCAACTTGCAACATAACTTTAAATTTACAAATAATCTGTGTTATAACACAGTTGAGAGCACTCTACGGGTAGTACCTACGTTTCAAAACCAAACCAAACTAAGATAAACATTTCCATTCCATTCATAGTGTTCCTGTCCTTCCCTTCCTTTCCCTCTTGTGAACAAAATACATCCTTACAGATATTGAAGACACAGAGATGGCGAGAGAAAATCAGTGTTGCTCGTGATTTCAGTGTATACTATCTATGCAAAATGAACGAATAGAAAACTAAATGCAGCTATATCCAAAGATGGCAAATTGAGAAGCCCAATAATCCCAAGGCTCACAGCCAACATTTGTCTAAAGAATTGGTTGCACATGGGAACAAGAAATCATAAATATGTTCAGACCTCAGAATGGCCCCCAAACTCCACCACTTCAGATTTTATTATTGCCAGCTTTGAGACCAATTTCTCAACATGTCTTAGATCCCATTTAATCTTCACTCAAAACAGTAGATTCAATCAATTTCTAGCAAATTGAGTTTTTTACCATTGGATCACAGTACACAAACACATGTACACATGTGGTGGTAAATTTCTAGCAATATGAATGAATCACAACTATCGCTGAATAACTTAATTAACAGATGGTGGAAAGTTCACAGTCAAATTTTACTCAGGAATCAGCCAGGATCATCAAATTAATTTACTGTGCAACTGTAGAACTTCTCCACAAAAGTTTAACAGACAGAATTAAGAGATGCACATGTAGAAAAAAGATAGAACAATTTTAATACAGAACTGGGATATTCACAACAAAATAATTACAGAGGGCAGAATACATCTGCAATGGTCATTATGAACATAAAAACATTATTGCATCAAAGTCGTTCCCTTTTTCAAAACAAAACACAAAAATAAAAATAAAAACTTTAACCACAAAAATCAACCATCATGAACCTTACTATAATTCGGTCCTGTAGTGGCATCTCTGGTTGGAAAGCGTGCGACTGGAAACAGCAACTTCGAGGTCGCAAGTGCTGTAGGTGACGACGTGAAAATTGAACAGGATCTGCACTTTTCCGGCAAGCCTGACATAAGTTTGAAAGGGCAACCTACCGGAGACGGCGTCGGAGAAGATAGCGGAGTTGGCGAGGAGTCGATCGGCCATGAGCGTGAGGGTTAGGTTGAGGGAGCGTGTGTCGCGGGCGCCAATCCGGCCGGCGGGGACGGGGACCTGGCCGACCTCGTCGCCCCTGTAGCGGAGGAGGGCGGTGCTGTTGGCGTACCTGAAGCCGACGCGGTTGGGGTTGGTGACAGAGATGCGGAGGTCGAGGGTGAGGTTGAGGCGGAGGCGGAGACTGGAGAAATCGACAGAGAAGTCGAGATCGTCGAGGGAGACGGAATCGACGGAGGTGAGGGGCCGCTTGACCTTGAAGACAGTAAGCCCTAGGATTAGGAACAGCAAGCCCAGTCCTAATATTGCGGCGGTCACACACAGGCAGATGCATTTGTATTTGCCCGATTTCGATTTTCTGGCCATCGGCGGCGTCATAAGTGTATCCTCCGGCTTGGTTGGTCGCAACGACGACGGTGACCCAGCTTCAACATCCAAGCTGTGCGGATGTGATCCATTGCCATTCATAGTAGACGACAAAAATCGGGGTAATTAATTAACTGGTTAATTTAGATCAATTGGAATTTGAATTGAGATAAGTTTGAATTAGATTAATTAAAAGCTACACCTGAACCCTGATAGATAGATAGATATTAGAAAGATGGTAGAAGACCAGTTTGGTAAGTGATGTATATATTCAGTTTCGTTGGCAAACTTGAGCAGGTAGTTACTAACTTGATACATTAATTATATATACTCTTCGTCTTATATTAAATATTCTACATGACTAGCTAAATAAATGTGACTTATTAATCACAATAACTAATCACAATTAATTCTAATAAAATTGTATCGTTTCAGCTTCCAGTTCCATTCCTACACCAAGTGTTAAGACATCGGAGAACATCACTAAAAACCGACATGTCTGCTCAGATAAGAGATTTCATGATATTTTTCAGCATCAATGCCCGTCTTTTTTCAAGACACCCATTAATGCTGGGGGCCACCTTGTTGATATGGTTATCGGTAAACCAAAATACTAATAATCATTGGCGCTTAGAGCTCGACAATTAGAAGATTATGTTATCTCAGAGGTTGACATACTCGCAAAATTCAAGTAATCACACATCGGATAAAGATGGGCCAAGAACCAACATCCTCATCAGGTAACCGACATCCCATATCGGTTAAAGCTTAATAAACCGATATCTATGACACAACGAACCGACATCATAAGGCGGTGCCAACTCAGTAAACTCATCATTATGCTTTGCCAAGTGGCGTATTACAAGAATGAATGGCAATCAGCCGCCATTGACTTTTCCTGGTGAATCATTGTAGTCTCGATAATTTTGTATTGTACTATAAAAATAGAAGAAGCTTCCAAAGAAGAAAGAAGAGAGAGAGGAACTATCACATTCAATAGACTATGTTTTGATCATCTTTTCGCCACTTTAATTTATCTTAATAATCGATACAACTCTTTGAATAATCGTTGTTCATTCACATATAACAACAGTTTGGCGCTAGAGGAAGGGCCTCATAAGTGTTTGAGGTTAACCTTCACTATTATAGCCATCTCTCGCTCAAATCTCCATGTCACAATCTGGTCGAGATCATACCTCCCATGCTGGACAGAGCCATGCTATGAATCGTTCCCCTAGGCGTTCGACGCCACCACCTCCGTCTACTAATATCACGGAGTTTCTTCAGAACCCAGAGTTCATTCAAGGGCTAACATCTCTTATAGCTAGAGCCATGCCCAGAACTTCAAGTACCATACCATTACCTACTCATTTCCCCACGAATCCACCAGAACAACAAAATCCAACTCATCATAATCAAGAAACACACTTAGCAGCGTCACATGCCACCTCACAACCACGTCATACTTCTCAACACCGAGATGAAACGACTCGTGTAGCTGTAAATCCAATACCAAATAACTTGGCTACACAGGGGCCTCTTGTTCAAGAAATGACCGCTGAAAGCCATTCTGCCCGTCATCACAGAGCCCCTTCACGCCCTAGACCCCCCTCGCCATTGCCTCGAGATCGCGAAGATTTACGTCATCAGATTGAACGAAATCGTGTGTCGAGACATAGTTTGGAGGAATTAGAGGCTCTCCGTAAGAGGCTGGCCGAAATAGAAACTCGACAGAAATCACAAGAAGAGTCCCCCCAACATGTCTCGACATCGGGTAATGTTATCATCGAAGCTGATTCTCCCTTAGCTCCCGAACTCACTGCAGAGGCGTTCCCCGCTAAAATAAAAATTCCACAAATTGGCATGTACGATGGAACTTCGGATCCCGACGCACATTTGGGTCATTATACGTCTTGAATGGATTTGCATGGCACCTCAGATGCTTTGAGATGTCGGATGTTTTCTCTCACGCTGGGGCCGCGCGCACAGAAATGGTACTACACTCTCCCACCTTATTCAATATGGAAGTGGCAACAGCTACGTGCAGCTTTCCGATCACACTTTATTGGAGCCCAAGTCTGTCTTATCCCGAAAGAATCAATCACTAACATCGTACAGAAGGATAATGAAACAGTTAAAGACTATATATCTCGGTTCAATGACCGAATTCAAAATATGGAACCTTGTCATCCTGAAACTTTATTGGTAACCGCGATCGCTTGATTAAAGCCTAATTCTATGTTTCGTTGGACTCCGTGTCAAAACAAACCAACTACCTTTCAAGAATTTCTCGTGCGAGCCCAACAATTCATTATTGTCGAAGAGTCGATGTCGGTACCCAGTTTTGACTTCTCGGTTAAAGAAGATAAGACTGAGCCAGATGCGAAGAAAAAGAATAAGAAGAATTTCGGAAAGACGCAATATCGAAATTATTCGAAAGGTTATGAAGATACTCTGGAATCCAAAGCCGCCCGAGACCAATATGCCGACAATGTGAGGACGAGCTATCAAACTGTTTATTCAGCCAGAGCAGCCACAATTTTCGAAGAACTGAAAGGAAAAAGGAATCATTCCTGATCCGAAACCTGTGAGAACTCCTGAAGACAAGCTGGACAAAACTCGATATTGTGCGTACCATAAGTCCCCGGGACATAATACCGACGAATGTCTCGGCCTCTTATCGGCTCTTTTGCGTTTAATTGGGCAACCTCAACTTCAAAAATTCAGGAATTTTGATAATCACCGCAAAGGAAGGCCTACAGACGTCTCGGATGAAGAAGATGATGATGAACGAGGCGTCAATCCGAAAAGAATCTGCGCAACCGACAAGGAGGTTTTTACGTTGTCTAATCTTGTCGGCACTTCGACCGATGAATACAAGAAACCCAGAACCCATGATGACTTGAATTTTTCTCATTATATACCTCGAATAAATTCTAACACTAAACAGTTGGATACCTCTCGACGAAAAGCTAAAGCCTACGCTCGAGAAGCACAAAATGCCGGGAAACAAATCATGAACGTAGATCTTCGAGATACCATCAACAAACGGAATTGTCCCATCACTTTTAACATTGAAGATGTCAATATGTTCGCTCATCCACATTCTGATGCTTTTATTATTACTGCTCCAATCGGAGGGATTCCTGTTCATCGAATTATGGTTGACACCGGAGCTTATTCAAGCATTTTGATGTTCCGTACCTTCAAGAAAATGGGTTTAGATCCTGCTGATATTAGGCCCTGCAACGATCAGATTCAAGGCTTCAATGGAAGCATTTCTTGCCCTCTTGGTGAAATCTTCCCCATTCAGTTTGGTGGCTTCGGACCAAAATCCAAAATCATTATGGAAACCTTCAAAGTCATGGATATTCAAAACGAGTACAATGCTGTCGTGGGACGTACTGCTCTTTATAAACTTCGCGCTGTTGTGTCGATTTTCCACTATGCATTAAAATTTCTTACCATCGAAGGAGAAAGCACTCACTACGGAGATCAGCAAGAGGCGCGAAACTTGACATTGACTCCAACTTCACGCAATATTCACGCATATGAAGCACAGGAAATTGATGAGTCTGTTAAACTTGATTTTATAGACCCAAATCTCTCCGATGTCAAAATGACGGATCAATCCACTTCGGACACCGACATCCCCTCTATGATTGATACCGACGTTCCCATGATGTCGGAATTGCCTAACACTTCAGATGGAATTCACAACCAAAAACAACAACTTCATAAGGAGGATATTAAGGTGCATGAAGATATAGACCCAAGGATGCAATTCAAAGATAAGAGTCACCACGCTCGGTCGGAACCTGATGAAGATGTTGATATTATTTACATAGATGAGCTAACTCAAGAAAAGCCGCTGCGTGTCGGATCTAACCTTCAAGAACCGATACGTTCTCAATTGATTTAATTCCTTCGGTCAAACTCTGACGTATTTGCGTGGAAGCATGAAGACATGAAGGGAATAGATCCTCAAAAAGCGTGTCATCGGCTGAATTTGGATAAGACTGTTAAGCCCGTTATACAGAAATGCCGAAAATTCGGACCTCCTCGTCAGAAAGCGCTGGAAAAGGAAGTGAACAAACTCGTAGACAATAAGTTCGTCAAAGAGGCCAAGTATCCAACGTGGATATCAAACCCGGTTTTGGTTAAGAAAAGCAATGGCCTTTGGCGCATATGCATTGACTTCTCGGATCTGAACCAAGCATGTCCGAAAGATAGCTATCCAGTCCCACATATCGATTATATGGTAGACGCCACATCGGGACATCAGCTCATGAGTTTTTTGGACGCTTATTCCGGTTATAATCAAATTCCCATGCACCCCGATGATGCTGAACATAATTCATTTTATTCGGCCCGAGGTCTTTATTGCTATGTCATGATGACTTTTGGATTGAAGAACGCTGGAGCCACATATCAGAGGCTCGTCAATAAGATGTTTGCCCAACTGATCGGTCACACGATGGAAGTATATATAGATGACATGTTAGTGAAGTCGGAACAAGCAAGCGATCATATCACTCATCTATCCGACGTCTTTAACATCCTTAGAGAATATTCAATGGTACTTAATCCTAAAAAGTGCACCTTTGGGGTCGGCTCAGGAAAATTCTTAGGGTATATGGTGAGCCAGAGAGGGACCGAAGCCAACCCCGTGAAGATTCAAGCCATACTCGATTTGGCTCCTCCGACGTCCGTTAAAGGTGTCCAAGCATTAACTGGCCGGTTAGCCGCTTTGAATCGATTCATCTCAAAATCAACAGACCATTGTAAACCCTTCTTTGATGCTGTCAAAAAGAAAAGGCCATTTGAATGGACTGCTGAGTGCCAGACTGCTTTCGACAATATTAAAGAAGTCCTTTCACAACTTCCGATGCTGCAAAAACCTCTTCCTGATGAACCCTTGTATTTGTATCTGGGAGTTAGTGATGTTGCCGTCAGTGCTGCCCTCATACGACAAGACGGACTCCAGCAATTCCCGATATATTATGTTAGTAAGTCTCTACATGATGCTGAATTGCGATATCCACATATGGAGAAACTGGCTTTTGCCTTGATCGCTGCTGCTCGCAAGCTTCGACCGTACT